CCCTTCCGAGACAATGTAGATGCAGCAGCGGCTGCGGGAAACCCAAATCAGGGCTTCCAATGGCGCGGGCTTCCACACTGAGACTTTTCTGTTACTGTTATAGCACCAGGATTGCATTCCCAGTGGGTTTCTCTCAGCCCAGTTCGTTCTTGGGTCAGCAGGGCATATCTCCTCTTGCTTATGATTCCTTACTCCGCACCATTCCTGATTCCTAAGCTGGGTCTTTTAGAGAGCCTCCGTAGCTGCTGCTATCTGTCCACCATGTTCCCCGAGTCCCTCATTCTTGTTTTAGGACTTTTGTTTTGTCCTTTGATGGAGAAACACTCTCTCCTCCAGTGTTGATATCTGGCTATATTTTTCCTCACATCAATAGCAGTTAGATAGATATCTTCAGGAAATCTTTTTGACTACACTCTGAAAAATTTATCCTTTGCTCTTAACTTTTCATTTCTTTTCATTTCCTTTGTAGTCTGTAGCATCAATGATGATTTTTCTTGACCTACTTATCTATGCTTTTCTTCCTTGCCCATCCCACACTTACCCTTATACCAAAGCCAGAGAAAGACCCAACCAAAAAAGAGAATTACAGGCCAGTATCTCTAATGAACATAGATGGAAAAATCCTCGGTGAGTTACTAGCAAGCAATGCAGCAAATCATCAAGATTATATAATGTGACCAAGTGGGATTCATCCCAAGAATCCAGGGATGGTTCCACATATGCAAATCAATAATTGTAATATACCATATTGACAGAATCAAAGATTAAAAATCACATAATTATCTCAAGAAATTCACAAAACGCATTTGACAAAGTCCATCACTCGTTCATGATAAAAACCCTATAGAAAATGAGATAAGATGGTCTTTGTCTCAATCTGATAAAAAGCCATCAATGTCAAACCAATAGCCAACATTATACTAAATGGGCAAAACTGAAACCATTTACTCTAAAGTCAGGAACAAGAAAAGGATGTTATCACCTTTATCACTACTCCTATTCAATACAGTGGTGGAAATACTCATCAGTGCAATTAGAAAAGAGAAAAAAAGAGAAATTAAAGGAATAAGGACAGAAAAGGAAGAAGTTAACTTATCATCATCCACATATAACATGATCAGAGGACTCCAAAAACTATACTAAAAGACTTTTGGATTTAATAACCAAATTCAGTAGTATAGTTGAAAACAAAGTCATCACTTAAAAAATCAATAGCATTCCTGTATACAAACAAGAAATTCACAGAGAAATTAGGGAAACCACATCCTTCACAGCAGCATTCAAAAAAATGAATTACTTAGGAATCAATCTAACAAAGGAAGTTAAGGATCTTTATATTGAAAATTACAGTACTCTGAAAAAGGAGATCAAACAGAATATCAAAAATTGGAAAGATATCCTTGCTCATGGAAAGTACCATTATGCAAATGGCCATGCTCCCATAATTGTTACACAGACAATGTATTTCCAATCAAAATATCATTAGCATACCTCACAGAACTAGAGAAAATATCCCTACAACTTATTTGGAACCAGAAGAGACCTAAAATAGCAAAGGCATTTCTGGGCAATGAAGACATGGCAAGAGACATTACAACCCCTGACTTGAAATTGTACTATAAAGTTACTGTGATATAATCAGCATGGTACTGGCAAAAAAAAAAAGACCTAAAGATCAGTGGAACAGAGTATAAGATGCAGACACAACTACAAACACACTTATCATTGTGAAATGGGCCACACATCTTCACTTGAACAGAGATAGCCTCTATAATAAATGGTGCTGAAAAAATTGGCTGTCCAACATGCCAAAGACTTAATACCACACCCATATCTGTCACCATGCTGCTAAAGTAAAAATTGATCAAGGTTCTAAATACTAAAACAGAAACACTAAATCTGCTGAAAGACAAAGTAGTTAAAAATCTTGAAGACAGGTATAGGCAGAGAGTTCATGAACAAAACTCACAGAAATACTTGAAAGAATCAGTGACTGGGATCTCATTAAAAAGCTTTTGCACATTAAAAGTAATCACCAATGTAGTATCAAGGCAACCTACAAAATGGGAATATATGTCAGCCAACTATCCCTTAATCAAAGGACTTATATCTACAACATATAAAGAACTGGAAAACAGACACCCCAAAATTCAAAGACCTAATTCAAAAATGAGCATTTAAGATGAAGATGTACTTCTCAGATGAAGAAATACAAACAACAAATAAATATATGAAAAAATGTTTAATAGCATTGTTTGTTTGAGAGATACAACTGAAAACAGCACTGAGATTCCATCTCATTCCAGAAAGAATGGCCATGATAAAAAAAATCAACCAATAACCAATGATGTTTGGGTTGTGTGGAAAATGGATCCCTTCTCCACTGTTGGTGGGAGTGTAATAGACTGATGCAACCATTGTGGAAATCAGAGTGGAGATTGCTTAAAATGTAGAATTACAGGTTCTATTCTACCCAGCTATTCTCCTTCTGGGTATCATCCCAGAATTCAGAACATCATACCATGGTGATATATGTGCACCATATTTATAGAAGCATGGTTTGTAATAGCTAGACCTTGGAAACCCAAATGCCCATCAACCAAAGAATGAGTGAAAAAGATGTGATATTGTTGTAATCAGGGGTTGCAAGGAGAACAATTACATATAGACCACAGAATTTATATTATTTTATGACGGTCACCCAGAGTTAAGTACAAGAAAGTGCAGGAAATCTTTCCACAACATTAAAGACTTAGAAAATCTAGATGAGGGCCTGGATCCCACATCAATGTCCTGCATGAGTCCAGCTGAAGACCTAGAGCCCATGACAGTGCCTCCCACAAGTCCAACTGGAGGCCTAGAGCCCATACAACAACTCATGCAAGTCTGTTTTAAGGATCTGTACTAGGAAGGCCCAAAGGTCAGCGATGGAAGCTAGAAAGTCTTTGCCAGCAGGGTGAAGGATCTGTATCAGTAGATTGAGGGTCCTACACTGGAGCCAAGAAGCAATGCTCAAAATAAGAACCAAAGCTCCCCTAAAAGTACCACAGCCATCCTCAGAGACGAGGTCCCAAGCTCCCCGAACAATGAGAACAGTTGAGTACATGTCAGGAAGCCAGTGTGACAAGGTTCTCCTGGAGATAAACAGCATGCATCTTCCCCACCAGAGCCAGAAAGTGATGCTTTTATAGGTAAATGGATGCAACTTAAGAACATACTCATAGGTGAAGTAAACTATACTTGCATGTGTAAATATATTGTCTCCATAGTGTGAGAATCTGAAATAGTAAATAAGATCCAAAATGTACAATAGATATTTGGAAATTAGAAGACACTGTTCAAAAAGAAATAGAAACTGGGATGGAAGAAAGGAGAAAAGAAGAGAAAAAAAATAATTATAAATATGTATATGCATATACAAGATAGTTAAGATAGTTATACTAATAATTTGTATTCGTTGAAAAAAATTTGTGCTTATACTATTTGATCATTTTCTCATGCTTGCATCTTGTAATATGAGCAGCTACTTTAAAGATAGGAATATGCAATGTATTAACCATTGTTACTCTCCTACCATCTTGTTTTTAAATTTTGTGTTGTTTTTATTCTTTTTTTACCTTTGAAGTAAAAAAAAAAAATTGAGGGCTAAGAAAGTCCCTTATATTTTGATTAAATATCAAACAAGGCTTTATTTTCCTTTACAAATTTACCAATAATTCTGCAGCTTTTAGAGGTGACTATAGCATTATCAGTCTTCTGTTGCAAAAGAGCGTTGATTATCTAAAAAACTGAGACTTATTCATTATTTTAAAAATATTTTTCTTTTTTCATTTTATGTCTATTTAGCATCCTGATGCATGCTATTTCTAACTGAATTAGTCTATTTTCAAAACAGATTGACATTTGGCTTATTTTTCGTGGTTAATATGCAGATGGTCTGTTTTCTATAACACATGTCTGTTTCAACTTACTGTTCTGATTTTGAGTGGTTTATTAGCCACAGACATCTAAAATTAGAATATTTGCTAAAGCGTTCATATACACACATATACAATCTGTCCACAACATTAAAGACCTAGAAAATCTAGATGAGGGCCTGGATCCCACAGCATACACACACACACACACACACACACACATATTTGAATGCATACTTTAGGATGATTTAGAATTCATAAATGCCATGTAAGGCCATGTTAGTATTCCATAAATACAGCCTCAAAGATGAAAAGAAAGATGATTATGATATTCTAAACATCTTCAATAAGTAAGTAAGCGTGTCAGACATCTTCAAATGCTGATCTGATTTTCTTTAGAATAGAGATACCTTCTTTGTATTTAACTTAACTTCCAGCCTGTGTGCCATCCAATTAAGTTTGTCCATTCCTGAGATTCTGACTTACACCTTTTCACATTAAGAAGTGAACTTCCTGGCTGGGGGCAGTTGCTTTATGTTTGTAATTGCTCATAGTTTCCATCTGCTTTTACTTGACTTGTGGTCTTGAAGATCATGCTTGGCCCATGGGACACTACAGTGTGCCGAAAGGATGTGGAGTTTTGTCAGCCAGTGAAATATGTCTGGCTTTTTTTCCCTTCCTTTCCATTTTTTTTTCTTCAGCAGCTTTCATTTGCTTCTCATCCTGTGTGGTCTTTACTGAACTAAATTTATATTTAGCAGAACTACTCTATCATATTTCATGACTTGGCCTTTTTGAAAGAGAAGGTGTGTGAAAGGAGTATCTGAGTAAAAAATTTGAATTATTTGGCAATAAAGAATGATAAAACTGAAAACTTAAAGTAGTGATATATATCTATATATCTATATATCTGGCACTATATAATATATATATAATGTATAATGACTTCACTATTTATAAATGTATAGTCTGTATGGGAGAAGGTCTCATATTTCAGATATGTACAACTGTCAAAAAACTCATGGCAGCTCTAGACTCCCAAGTTTTGTCTGTGGTACAACTGATCTTCCTGTTTGTTTCTAGGCATTACTGCAGTCTTCAGTCAAGCAGCAAGTAGAAGCTATTGAAAAGCAGTACATTTCTGCCATTGAGAAGCAAGCACACAAGTGTGAGGAGCTGCTCAATGCGCAGGTAATAAATGTGCACACCCATTGTGCATTTATACTTTTCCTCTAACTCCTCTCCCCTGATAGCTGTACCACTGTTTATTTGGTTTTATACCATTTACTTTACTTCATGTATTTTGGAGAAAAAAGATATGCGTATTTAAGCTCAGGGCTTAAATTTTATGATAGGCCCAAAATAGTAGTAAAGTCTTAAAGCAAGTGAGTTTTTTTCAAATTAATGATTGTTTACATGTTAGTTTCTGGGTTTTAATAATATTCACCTAAATAGCTTTCAGTGACTTACAATAACATTTGGTAACATTTTATTTTAAATGATATACCAGAATTTTAAAATGTGCTTGAGTTACAGTTTGTTTCAGACATTAGCATCTATTTGCATTTTTTTTTTGTTTTTGTTTAATGTCTTAAGAGTTTTAAATGATTAACTACTTTACTTGCAAGGGAGTTGTGGTAGTATCATAAGGAGTTCCTTGCAGTGTTTTTCAATAATAAAAACATAAGTGGTGAAACATAGTCAACTTTATTTAAATGGTATATTTTTTAAAATGGTGAGAAAATTAACTACAATTTAGTAGACAAAATCAAGTGAATTTAAATGGAGATTTATAAATATGCTGCCTCATTCTCAAGATGATCAGTTCTATTAAGTATTTTTTAGTGCTCATTAAATTGCTTGGAAGAAGGAAGTTGATAAATATGATGTAACAATTATGCTATTTTGGGTGACAAGCTGGTTGTAAGGGTGTGATGTGTATGACTTTATAAATGAAGAATATAAATCACAGAATTAAGATTATAAAACGAACTTTAAAACAGCATGAGACACATATTACCACAGTAAGATGGGTTATGCCATCTGGCTGCAAGCAGTAAAGTTTATATTTTATTCATGCTACGTTTAAATTGAGTGTTGTCTTGGGTTTCTGTTTCATGTCCTTATCCTGGAAACTATCCTGAGAGTGTATTTGCTGGGTGGACTATATTACCTGTTATCATTAAACACTAAAATTAAGTCCTGTTGCATTTTTCATCAGCAGTTAAATAATGTGGCTGGGAATTGACATTTCCAATTCCACTTCTCTATGTATGTGATTCCACCTAATCATAACGGCTCCAGATAGTGCAAGCTTATGGAAGCTGAAGGAAGACAGCCAGAAGTATTTGGTGAACAGCACTAATATACCACACAGTCTCTATTTCACAGTCATATTTATATACCCTGCCACTATAGGAAAAAATCTGAACCTCCCATCCTGAGATGATCTCAAACTCAAAAGTCCAGGACCTCTGTTTGATAGGAGAGGCTGACTTATTGTCATGGTTTATGTTTGTGTCCCCCAGGCCTCATGAGTTTAAATTGTGCATTTTTTATTCATTCATTGTATAGTGCTTGGATTGATGGTGTTAGTGCTACACCCACATAGGGGTGGAGCCAGGATGTGATGTAATGGCAGGAAGGTGTGTCTTGCTCTTTGCCGGTTTCGGTTTTGCTGTTTTCAGCCGCCATGAACTGCAGCCCAGCCATGCCCGCCTGCCTTGGAGCCAACTGAGTGTGGACTGAAACCTCCAAAAACTGTAAGAAATAAACTTTTCCTTTCCCAACTTGGGCTTCAGGTATTTTGTCTCAGCAACAAGTAAAAAGTAACTAAGACAGAAATTTGGCACCGAGAGTGGGGTCGTTCGCTGTGACTATACCTGGCCATGTTTTTCAAGAGGCTTTGGAAATGGCTTGTGGGCGGAGTTTGGAAAGGTTTGAACATGTCGCCTGGATGCATAGAGCTGGAGCAGCTTAGGCTGTTCTGTAGAGGAGATTCTGGTCAGAGTTCAGGAGACCAGAAGGCTGATGATAGAAAGCCTCATGGTAAAGACCAGGCTTGGGAGGTTTCTGCTGGGAAGGACTGCATTGGTCATTGGAATCCACATGATGGGTGTTAAGGCTTGGTAGAAACTTTGTCTGCATTTTGCTCCTGCCCAGAGACTCTGCCTGAGACTGAGACAAAGGGCAATGGACTGATTAATCTTGAAAAAGAAATTAAAAAGCAATCGAACATTGAGGCTGTGGCATGGCTATTGTTAGGGGCTTTCAGCCAGCTTTATGTTTCAAATCAGAAGCAAAGAGCCCAGCAGGATAATGTACAATGCTGTGAGTTTGGCCCGAAGGAAGATTCCAGGAAAGGTGTGGATTGTAAAGACAGAGTTGAGATTTTGATTCCTGAGGAGAAACAGAGAGATAAGAAAGATGGCCCCGGGGCATCTCAGGAAGCAGGTCCCCACCCTGTGCAGCCTCACAGCAAAGATGAAAAATTTGCTCAGAGGAAAAAGCTACAGAGTGCCATGCTCCAGAATGGCGACAAAGGCCAAGTCAGGTTCCAGAATGGCGACAGAGTCCACATGAGTTTCCAGAATGGCGGCAATACAGAGAAGCTTTTCATCACAATCAGGTAAACAGAGCCCTGTGATCCAGGCAACTGATCCCTACAGCCAAGAGAGAGAAAAGCCTGGCTACTGCTTCAGCTAGCATAAAACCTTGACGGCATCCACAAGGTGCTGATTTTAGGTGCAAGGAAAATGCAAAAATTCTGAGGGTAAGACGGCTTCCACCTCGATTGCAAAGGGCCTGGCAGGCCAAACAGTGTGCCCCTGAGAGAGCAATTTGTGAAGATGTAAGGATGAAGGCGAGGGTGCATTGGAGACCCCAGAAGTTTGGAAAAGCCAGGAATGTGGATGATCCAAGGGAAGCTGCAAAAAGCAAGCAGAGAAGATTTAAGAGAAAAGCTGCAGGAACTGAAATCACTGGTAGTGCCCTTGGGGTGGAATCACCCAAGGCTTTTGGAGCTTGCAACCAGATTGCTTCTGATGCTGAGCATAGAACTCTAGGACTTAATGTTTGTCCTGCTGGATGTTGGACTTGCTTTGTTTCCAATGCTTTATATTCCCGTTTGTAACTTTTGGAATGGTAATGTTTATCTTGTGCCTTTGCATTTCAGAAATGTTTAACCCTGTTTCATTTGTACAGGGACTAATAGTTAACAGTTTGCCATAGATCTTCGAGGAGACTTGGGACTTGGACTTTTTAGCAATGCTGAAGCTGTTAGGACTTTGGCAACTCTTGGAGGTGTACTAAATGTCTTTTGTATAAAGGATGTATGTGAGTCCTGGAGTCCAGGGGTGGAATGTCATGGTTTATGTTTGTGTCCCCCAGGCCTCATGAGTTTAAATTGTGCATTTTTTATTCGCTCATTGTATAGTGCTTGGATTGATGGTGTCAGTGCTCCACCCACATAGGGGTGGAGCCAGGATGTGATGTAATGGCAGGAAGAAGGTGTGTCTTGCTCTTTGCCGGTTCTGGTTTTGCTGTTTGCAGCTGCCATGAACTGCAGCCCAGCCATGCCCACCTGTCTTGGAGCCAACTGAGTGTGGACTGAAACCTCCAAAAACTGTAAAAAATAAACTTTTCCTTTCCCAACTTGGGCTTCAGGCATTTTGTCTCAGCAACAAGTAAAAAGTAACTAAGACACTTAAGTAGTTTTTACATGAGCAGGTTCAGATATTTGGCCCCTTTTTACTGGAAGCATTAAAAACTAAAGTACATTGCTTACATTCAACATGGTAATATAAACAGTGATGAAACAAAGGTTGGCCGTAAACACTCCCAGTAGGAAAAGTAAGAAATTGAAATTCATAGGTAATCTTTAATGCGTGATTGATCATGATTCCCTTTTCAGGGATTTGGGACAGTCTTTACTATATTGTTTCTTGTGGGTTTTTCTTTTTTAAGTTGCTGTATTTGCTACATTTAGTATGGATATTGACAATGATATTTTCAGCCTTCTTAATAATGAAAATTAATGGGCACATAAAAATCAATAAAATTCTTAATATATATTGTGTATTTAAAATAAGCATCAACATTTTCATACCAGCTGTATATTTTCTTAGAGAGCCTGAAAGATATTATCAGACATAAATTTCTGTATAAACTATAATGAAAATATCAGTAGAACTCTACAACAAAATAATTTTCGCTTCAATTGTCATACCCAAGGCAGTCTTCACACATCATGTACATATCTCACACGACAGCACATTTTGCTTACTTTCTTTTCATGTATGGCAGGTCACACTATATATATAGTAAGAACCTCCTAACAAAACAGCAAGACTAGCAAGATGTCAAGTATGTTCTATGTAAAGGCCAGGAAAGAAAAACACACGTACTGTCAGTGTTTGCACTATGTGTGTATGGAACATGCTGTTATCATGTGTGAACACTGAATTAGGAGTGGTAATTGAAGTGAAGATTTTTTTGTGGAGTTCTGTTGGTAATCTTATTGGAGTCCACAGTGGAATTTATTTCTATTGTTATTTTCTAGACTTGGTTCACCAAAAGACAGTTGATGTTGAAAATTTGGATGCTTTTTTATAATGATAAATATTAAAAATTCAAAATAAATTAAGATTCCAAAGGCTGTTTTTGGTAGCAGTACAGGAGAATGGTTCTTCTGGCTGTTTATTTTATTATAGTCAGCTCTGTTTAAGGCATATCCATAGTTTTAGAGAACTGCTTCCTAATTTTATTATAGATAATGTGCTTTCTACCTCATGCTTGTATGCTGTCTGTACCTCTCTCTTTGTCTTTTTAAGACAGGGTCGCACTATGCAGTTCAGGCTGGCCTTGAGCTCACTTTGTAACCCAGGTTGGTCTCGAACTGGCAGATCCTCTTGCCTCAGCCTCCCAAGTGATAGGAATACAGGGTATGCCCCCACACCCAGATCTTCTCTCTTTGATTGAAGATAGCTCTCATAACCTACAAACTGGGAAACAATCTTAGTGAATTGTCCCTCAGACAAAGGACTTCTGTCCAAAGCATATAAGGAATTTAAAAAAAAAATCAGACCCCAAAATTCAAGGATCCAATCCAAAAATGGGCATCTGAGATGAATACACAATTCTCAGATGAAGAAATACAAATGGCAAATAAATACATGAAAAAATGTTCATCA